AGGAAGAATTAAGAAGGTACACATGCTGTTGAAAGTTTCTGATTTCTAAGAAACTTACTTCCTGTTTTGAAAAATTTTCTATTTATTTAAGTAATGATAACAAATAGATAAAATACTTGCCATTTTGTTTTCAGTTTGTTGTTTTGTATAAAAGTGACATTATTCTCACTTTTTCTTTGTCAAATTGCGTTGATTTAGAGATATATATCAAGAGAGACTATAATAATGGTGATTGACTAATAATTGATAATAAAAATGTTTAGGATATTATAAAAATACTTCCCCATTTCTTTAAAAATTGATCGTTACAGATACATTACAAATGCTGTTTAAAGAAATATTCGTAGGTCACGCGGATTATAATTGATTATTTTTGCATAGTCAAATACACATTTATGGAAAATGTAAACTTATTTTGACTTTTACTACATAATTATGCTCCCACCATTTACAGTTTGATTGGCATAATATCACTTTAAATCAAGAGAAAATTTTATTTGTTATTTTGAAAAACTTTTCTCCTAAAAGTGTAAAAAAAACATTTAAATGAAGTAATGTCTCGTTTTAGAATAGCTATTATTCAATGCCAACTTTTATTGCATTGAAGTGATATACATAGTAACATACTCATAGGAAAACAAATTGAAATAAAAATATATGTAAACATGTATTTTTTTACATGTATTTTTGAGAAGCATATTACAAAGAGTACAAACAAAGATAATTAATTACCGTTAGAACAATCAAAATGAAATGAACACAGAAATCTATACATTTGGATAAAAGATAAATTGAGTATCAGTTGAAGTTTACCTCTATAGTATTTAGTATTTAATAATTTCAGTAACTTTATCCTATATGTTTACTACAGCTCGACAAGAAATACAGATTTCTTTTATGTATGTCAAATTCTTTTTAAATGTGCTTGGGTGAGTGTATTAGCGTGGCATTAATGTGTCAAACATTAACTTGTGTATATTTCAGCAATATTAAGCGTTATCAATCAGTAGTGTATAGTACTATGAAGCATGTCTCTATGTTGTTGGGTATAATTACCCTTACCCTGCTAAAATGGAAATGGAATATGATGTTTCTATACTGTTGGCTGACCAACTTTTGATTTTTATCTTGTTATCCCCAAAATTGATAATGGACAGTTCCAAAAATGAAAACTGGAAAATTACATTTTCAAAATTCTGCAGGTTATGGGTTAAAACCATATTTTACCTTTAATTAAAACACTTATGTAATCTAAAGAAGAATATTTCTTTTATTTACTGCAGGTGGTCAACATATGGAAAAGACTATGCCCCCACAGGTCAACATGGCCCTGCCTTTTATAGTTTTAAGTCAGTATACATTGACTTAATTAAAGAAGTGTGTTAAATCTTCATGCTGATACTACTGGACCCCTATGTTAACCAGTATTGACCAGTTAGGACTAATACCGCTTTCCCTTTCAATACTCATTTTACCAACTTTGAAAATATTTCAAAACATTTTTACACAGAGTTTGTATATAAGAAAAAATAGGACAGAGTATGATATCACTGACTTAATGCTTAAACCCAGTTTATGTGTCTAACTATATACCTTTCACATGTTAAGCATCACAGAGTTTGCAAAAATGAAAAAAATAGGACAGATATGATAGCACCACTAACTGAATGCTTCCACCCAGATTGTGTCTAACCAAGTACTTTTCTCATCTTAGGCATATATAACTTCATCACAACAAATGCTAACTGCAAAATCTACTCTTGCCAGAGCAACAAACTGTGAAGTTCAAACTTCTCACATTCAAGGTTGTTTAGTTCTTTAACAAAAGGTTGTAGGCAAGGAAAAATTAGTGCACCTTTATCATTTACCCACCTACAAAAATCATTGAATAATGATAACACATGCTGTCTTTCTAAAGAAAACAACATTTGGCTTCAACTTATTTTAAGACAATAATCATTCTAGAATAATTTAACTACCAATTTGTATTACTGGTTAGTTATCCAGAAAAGCTGGTGAGGTGGATCAACCAGGGAGTACAATCAAAAATAGTGTTAAAATTGCTGTAAAAGCCAAGAAAACGATACAAAACAAATCAATTCATTATGTTAATTGCAGTAATGGTCTAGTTGTGTAAACCTCATATACATGTGTAAGTTTGATCTATAACAAAATCACAGATTGTCTTTGAGCCATTTTGAAATTGATGCCTGTTGCATTCAGGTTTCTATTGTACATGTATGATATTTGAGCAAACCCAACATTATCAAGTTAAATGAATTATGCCTTCTGCTAAAAATAAACTTAAAGACATCCCTGCCTATAAACCTGAAAGTTTGTTAGCAAAGAAACTAGTATTATAGCATAATGTTGAGGATTTAATATTATTAAGCTGTTTCTGTTTCATGAAATTCATTATTCATTTATTAAAGATTTTATCAAATTGTCTACTTTCAGGAAAATGTGATTCACGGTCATCTTGATGTAGTACTCTGAATGAACTAGCTGGATGAATTAGCCAACATCAATAATGGCAGCTGTGGGGGAGAATGAGGTCCCAGTTGTTAAGGACCTTGACTCTCTCGCTGTCCAGTTTGGTCAGTCCTTGCTCGAGTCAGATCTGAAGGCGTACAACGACGACAGCTCCAACACTGGCAATTATGACGTCGAAGATGAGACGCCGACTGGGCCCGGTCCTCGTATTGATTTTAAAGATCTGCATTTTGATAAATCTGATAATGAAATTAAAAAGGAGGAAAGTGATGTTTCCATGGACGTCCCTAGTAGTAGTCAACAGACGGGATCGAAACAAAAAGTGTACAGATGTGAGGATTGTGGGCAGTGTTATCTTAAGTCTAGTTCATTCAGTAATCATAGACTGGCTCACCATCCGTCTGTCTGTACACACTGTGGTCGGCGTTTTAGTTTACCATCAAGTCTAGAGGCACATCTACAGCTAGAGTGTGGTCGCAAGAAAGAGTCCTCCGGACTAGAGTGCCATATATGTCATAAAGTCATGAGTACAAAAAAGATTCTCAACAGGCATTTAAGACTGCATACAAATTCTGGTAACTTTACCTGCCATTTGTGTTCAAAGTCTTTTGGTATGAAAAGTAGTCTAGAATTTCATATGAAAACTCATGACGTTACAAAACCATACAAATGTAACCTTTGTCATACAACTTTTACAGAAAAATCTACGGCTATACGGCATGTAAAGAAACAACACACTGAAGTCAATTATAATTCTTTTATAGAAAATACCTTACAACCTGCAAATCCTGTAGAGCTAGCAAACAAGATTGATATTAAGTTACTTGGAGGTGCAGGAATGAATCATTCACAAAACTCGCTGAATAATACAGCAAAAGATACTACAGGTGTCAAGAGCTCATCTCTATCTCTGAAATCTCTACTTGAACAACCAATGATTAAGATGTTAGAATCTGAAAACCTGCTGGGTAAAAAGGTAGAAGAAAGTCTTAAGAATTCAGCTGAGTTCAAAGATAAGATAAAGCAAGAAAATGATACGTATAGTGGATATGAAAATGATAACAACTTCTCTGACGACGATGAAAATGACAATAGTGCACAGCAAGGGGACTATTTTAAAATATACAATTGTAAACTATGTGACAAATCTTACCATCATTCAAGTTCTCTTAATAAACATATGAAAAAGCACGATTCATCTAAATTTGTTACATGCTATATCTGCAAGAAGGTGTGTGTAAGCGAAGAAGATTTTCAGATTCACTTTACATTGCATTCTTCAACCAAAACCTATGTTTGTCCATTGTGTGGCGCGAAAATTGCCAGAAGATCAAGTGTTTTACGTCATATTAGGAAAACGCACAAATATTCAAACCAGGCTGCTAGGGACTTACTGAACCAGTATCTAGCTTCCCTAGATATATCTGAAAGAGTAAAGTCTGAACCCGGAACCGTACATGAAGACTCTATAGACGAAGCAATAAAATCAGAAACCGATGTTAACTCCGAAGCTGTTGATCATGAGCCGATTGCTGACGACAAAAAGCCAGTTAACAATGTTGAACAGTTTGAACATTTTACATGTAGTGTCTGTGAACAGATATTTTTAGAGAATGCCAAGTTGACAATGCATTTGCTGACTGTTCATAAGTTAAGTGAAGAAGAAGCTTTAGTTAGTTCAGGTCTGATAATAAATGATGGCGCAAGTAAGAAAGATAAACCAGATCATTTTACATGCAGTTTATGTCAGCAAATATTTCTAGAAAAAGAAGAATGGAAAAACCATCTGTGTGATCTCCATGGACTAAGTAGAGAGGAAGCTGAAACATGTATTCAGTTAGAATCAGGAGAACATAGTCAAATAGAGGAGTCAAATGATGTTAGTGGTAGATTACGTTCTAGATCTGAAAATAACGAACTAAAGTCAAACCTATTTGACACACCTTTGAGTGTCACAGTTGAAAAAGATAGTAAAGGGGTACAGAAAGTTATTAAAGTGATGCCTGAGGTACCAGTTAATGGTGCTGGTACTAAAAGCGACGCATTTAAACCATACAGTTGTAGTATGTGCGGAACCAGGTTTGTTGAGAAATCAAGTGTACGACGGCATTTAAAGAGAACACACAAGTTTTCACCAGAGGAGGCTAGAGAGTACATGATTAGAGCTGATTACACAAAAGACTCAAATGTCACAAATAAAATAGTGTCTTTCCCTCAAACGTACACCCCTATGAAGAATGAAGTAAATGACAGTTTACAGGAAAGTCTAGATAATGATGCAAGTTATATGGAAGACGAAGATAAGGAAGATCAGAATCACCCGAGTCAGAGAACCTTTCTTTGTAGTATCTGTAAACGAAGGTTTATGCTACGGTCCAGTGTTCGCAGACATTTACGTAAAATCCACCACTTCACTCCAGAAGAGGCAAGAGAATGTGATATTCTTGCTGAAGAAAACAAGGATCAGGTATACAGGATAAGAAAACCAGTAGATACTGATAAAACCTCATTAGATACATCCCCATCAATGGTAGAAAGGTCTGCTGCAGCCAAAGTTAAACAGAAGACTGACATATCTTGTAAAATATGCCAACAAAAATTCAGTCAAAGATTTGGTTTGAAACGTCATTTGGTTAATGTTCATCGGTTGGAAGCAGCAGAGGTGGAAAGCTATATGGAAGAACAAATGAATGAGATTGGTCCAAATGTAAATCAAACCTGTAGTTTGTGCTTTACTGTGTTTGATAGTAGGCCTAAACTACGTGTTCATTTGATAAAGTTACATAGACTGTCCGAGTTGGTTGCTGATAGGATTCTTATTGGAGAAGAAATGTCTGATTATACTGAAGGAATTGAAGCAGGTGTTATAAACTCTGGAGCAGAAATGGACGTTTCTGATGGCTTTGAAGATACATGTCAGTCTGGTGTTATGTACCTGAATAGTAATGAAGAGGAAGTTGAAAATTTTGATGTAGATGATGATTCTAATGAAATGAAACTAGGAAATAATAGTGATGTGATGTTTGGTTTGAAAGGTGAAAAAGATCTGTTAGCAGAAATGAACTTTGAAGCAATTAATCCTTGGGGTACTGACCTAAAAGCTGATGAAATGGAAACAGATAATCTTGGAATGAGTGAGTCAGGAGCAAATGCTGATATAGATTTTAGTCTGAATGAAGAGGATAAATTAATGGACTCAAATGATGGACAAGATTCAATGAGTTTAAGTCTGATTTCCCAAGATGAAAATGATTCTGAAAATAAGGTGGACAGTATGAAAAGTCTTGTAGGTTTAACACATGTCTCAGGACCTTCATCGTTTCTCCAGAAAAGGAGTTATGATTGTCCAATTTGTGGAAGGGTAATGAGCGATGCCAGTGCAAGGTCAAAGCATATACGCCGTCATGAAGGTAGAGCAGGGTTTAAATGTGGGTTGTGTGATAAGATATTTCCACAGTTACGTCTTATAGAAAGTCATTTGAAAACACACTGTGGTTTTGGTGTGAAATGTGGAATATGTTTCATATATTGCGCAGAAAGGCATGGTGCAAAACGACACATTCACAGAATACATAACATTGAACCTAATACTGGAGAGTCTGAGAAGAATATCTTGTCTTGTACATTAGATGCACCAAATGTACAAGACAATATGAATAATTATACCGTGATTGATCTTTCAAAGCAAAAAGACATTATTGAAATTGTACCAAATACACTTCTAGGTAAAAAATCTGACGTAGAAAAGTGGAAACTTGAAACTGAAGAGGCAAAAGCTAAAGAGAAAATGGAGCTGAGAAATAGTATGGGTGAAAGTGAAGAAATACCAAGTGTAAAAACTGAGGAATTGCCAGCAAATATAAAACAAGAAGTTAATACAAATGATTCAGGTGATTTGAACGGCTCTGGAGATACAAGGGACTCTATTAACTTTGGAGAGTCAGTTTTATCCAGTTTGAAAAAGAAACCCAAGAAAGCTACTAAAATAGATTCTGTGATAAGTAGCTTACACAAAAAGCTGCTAACCAAGAGCATAAATGGATCTGACACAGATGACCAGTCTGATAGCGGAAGTCAAACTGAAACTGATTCACCAAAATCAGTATATAGTGCTGAGAATTGTTCTCCGTTGAAAATAAAATTGACCAAGAAGTTTACACCAGAAAGGTCGCCAAAGAAAGCTCAGAGCTCTGACAGCATAAATGAAAATGAGAATGATGATGATGATGATTACAATGATGAGGGTGGTTCTGACTCGGATCAAACTGTTGATATGAACTATGATGATAAGTCAGAGGATGTGATAGATGACATGTCCAAAGACAATGTTAATGCTGATGGTGAACCGGCTGATTCTGACGTTGCCCGACTAGACCAGGAGTTAATGAAAGCATTTATGCCCGAGTTTACAGCTGGTGGTAGTCTGGACAACCTTGAATCACTGGAGAAAACATTGAACTCTTTTAAAGGGAAAGAGACACCTACAAAACCTGCTCCTCATCTAAACTGTTGGGAATGTGGCAAATCTTACTCGAACTATAAATCGTACAGAGAACATCGTAGGAAGAAACATCCACTGAGTTGTAACCTTTGCAGACAGGTATACATTATTTTAGTATATCTTAATAATTATGTTGTGTCTTGTTAGTTAGAAATTATATAGATAGTCCAATGGCAGGTTCTTGTATAAAGGTGGATTGTTTAATAACAGAACTTCCAGTATAATAAAAGTGTATATTAAGACTTCCTTAGACCTTGTTAGCTTGTACATTATCTTAAGAAGAAAAGTTTAGATTGGAATAATTCATGAATTACGGACTAACATTCATTTGTAACAAACAAAATGCAGCTGGTTTTGTTTTTCCTTTTCAGCTGCATTACAAGTTCATTCTTTGATGCAATAATTTATTATATCTTCTTGTACTACATACATAATTCTTTTTTCTTATTTTTTTTTAACTGAGGTAAAGACTTCTAAACTTCAATGTACATTTATCCTAATAATGTATAGATATAATAGCCATATTAATAGTTGGCTTTCAAAAAGTAAAAAAAAAACAAAACAAACTTGTATATTTTTATAATCTGTTGTATTAATAGGTGTTTGTCGATGCATTACTATACCAAAGTCACATGCAAGCTCATACAGAAGGGAACAAAGTCCCTAGAAATCATGACTGCCCCGTGTGTGGTAAGGAATTTAAAGACGCTAGTTCCAGGGCCAAACATCTTAGACTTCATACTGGGGAAAAACCATACAGGTAAATGCTTTGCTTCATCAAAATGAAACACTTTTTATTGCTGTAAATGATGTACAAAATATGACATTTTGGTGAAAATGTGTTATGGTGTCAAAAAAAAAGCATAAATGGGACTCGAACCCAGGACACTAGAAACACTGTACTTTGGCTCTACCAGCTGAGCTATCTGACATTTACACATTCTCTCCCCTTATAAATGAATTGTTTAAGACAGCTACATATAGTTTTGAAATTTATTCTGGAATTTCCAATGGATATAGAGAACAATGTGAATTGACTTAGAGCTTATCAGAGTCATGGTCCCCCGTTGGGGCCAAATGTCACAGACAGAGAAAAATGTGACAGGGACTCGAACCTGGTACACTAATTATACCGAACTGCAGCTCTACCGACTGAGCTATCGGGCACTTTCATATTCTCTCCTGTAATAAGTGAACAGTTCTAGACCATGGCAGAGGTATTGTTTTAAACTCTTTATAGACAAACTATGTTTTTTGCAATAGAAGGCACAATGCATTAAAAATAGACCCCTTTTGTTTGAAATTTTAAATCAAGACCCATTAATCACCCTGGTTTCAATTACCATTCTCATTTTATTATATTTTCTCCTTTTATGTATATTATCAAGTTTTACAAACACATACTATTTTATATATAATGATATTTTTGGTTTCAAATGGTTGAAAATGGAATTCTTATGTCATGTGATCACTAAGAGTGTTCCGAGTTTGTAGATACACCACAGCAGCTGCTGTTTATTGCTATTCCTAGCTAGAAATGGTCTCCAATTTAAGACTTCATGTATGATCATAATGTGATAAAATACGACAGGTAAATGTCAAGGCGTTCCTGTGTAGACAATACATGTATGTAGGAGCCTATACAAATTGGAAATTTCTACATCATATTGAGAACTTTGAAATTCCTTTTTCAAGTTCAATGAATTTTGTTATTTGTTCAAAAATCATGTTTATTTTACTGTCAAGGCTTTCCCATTAATGTGGTTGCTTAGAATTTTAAAAAAAAGTACTGATTGAATGGGGGATAGGGTAGATCATGAATTTACCCATGCCACTAGTGCGGACCAATAGATAGACTGGTTGACATAAGGCGACAGCCATGCTCAGTCTGATCTACTTGCAGGTCTTGTTCAAAGGGTTGTTGTGTCCAGGTATGAATGAAAACAATTCACATATAAAGAACAAAAAATGACCGAAGTTAAATATCTGTCTGTGTCGTCTTATCAGTTATCTTGGTCTGCACTTGTGGCATGAGTAGGTTCAGTTATCGCAAGCAGGTTAAAGGTCAATGGTACTCTTACAAAAATTAGGTAAATTTATATTTGTGGTAATTAAAATTGCAGTTGTATATATATAAGTATTGCTTTTAATTTTGTAGGTGTGAGATATGTGGTAAACGATTCACTCAGACTGGTCACCTGGCCAGTCATATGAGAATCCACAATGGAGAAAAGCCGTTTGATTGTAAACTGTGCGGGAAATGGTTCACAGAGAAATCCAGTGTGAAGCGCCATCTACGTAAAATGCATTTTAACCAGTACAACAAAAAGTGTAGTGTATGTGGTATAATCTCAAAAACCCGGGAAGAGCATCGCGATCATCTAGTTACTCATAAACTAAAGGTTTATACTTGCCAGGTCTGTGCTAAAGATTTCATTGACTCTCGTGCTCTTAAAGTGCACGTGTTTAACGCACATTCCCAGATAACACAATCGCTAAACCTGAAGGAGTATCGCTGTCAGGAATGTGATAAACAATTCTTCTCAACTAAAGGACTGAAAAACCATCTCAAAACCCATAAGATCGAAGTTAAAATGTTTAACTGTGAAATATGTAATAAATTATTTTTCAATGAAGCGTACATGCAGAGCCACATGAAGACGCACTCAACGAACAAGGAACGTTACTGTGAAATATGTCATAAGCATTTTAATAGTGCTGCATACTCAGCATTCCATAGAAAGCAGCACATTCTAGAAAAACTTAACGAAGTTATGGTTGCTAAGGAAACACAGGAAAAAGAATCTGGTTCACAAACAAATGTTGAACTTGAAGTTGGAATAGAGACTGAGAAAGTTGAAACAGAGTCTGAAATAGTGAACAAAATTGATAGAAAAACTGAACCAGGTCGTTTGAAAAAGGGAGAGGAAAATGTTCTAGTCAGTAATTCTGATGTGATGGATTCTAACGATGAAATGGATGATGATAACAAAAGTTTTGAAGTCATTAGTGACACAAATGTGATGGACTTAAAGGATATACAAGCAGCTTTCACTGACCATCTGATTCGACTTCAACATTTCAAATTTTATTCGTGCTTTTATTTCTTTAAAGCAAAAGATGCGGGCATTGATGAAAACGATACTAGAGAACCAAATATGATAATTAATTCAGATAGTCGAAATAACGCCTGGGTACAGATGGAGAATGGCGAAAAGAAAGCCCGATGTTTCTCCATGTACCGTTGTAATGAATGCCGGACATTTAAGCTGAGAAAACGCGAGATTATGCGCCACTATGATTCTATTCATGGAGGACGCCTCAATATCCACTGTTCAACTTGTTCTGCAGTGTAAGTAGATTGATTTACTAACAATTTCATCTCTCTTCTCTGAATATTGTAATGCTTTTTTTGGTTGAAAAAAAGAAACACTCTCCTTTTATCATACACCCGAAAAAAATGTTGGCGTACAACAGTGCATGTATAATGCTATGCACCTGGACATATGTCCGTCTTTTTGGGCCATTTTTGTGTCTAGCCCTAAAAATTTTTTGTTTTTAACCCAGGGAAAAGGAAAATTTAAAATTTCTTGCAAAAAATTTTTAAACCGTAATGTGCAGAGAAATTTTTTAAAACCTTCCTTGGGTCAAGGTCACCCATTTTGATCATTTTAAAAAATTTTCCCCCTTTCCGGGTTTCTTTGGTTTAATTGTTTTTTTTTTAAACAAAAAAAAATTAGAAAGCATTTGTTACAAACTGTGCTTTAAAATCTGGTCGCATGAACAATTTAAGTGTATAAAAATTTAACTGGTAGCAGTATAGTGATGAAAACTTGTTAAGTTCAGTCATATTTTTTGCAAGTGACATTCAAGGTTCAAGTATTAAGAATTTTTATTCATTTTTGAATTTCTAGAAACTCTGGATTTACATTTTATTTTTTTTTTTCTGGCAGTGTGAATCTTTAAGTAAGTAAGTAAGGAAGTAAGTAAGTAACGACTTTATTTAAGGAGGCTTACACATTCAGTTTCCCGATCTTCCATGTGGGCCTCAGCATAACATTATTAAAAATCAGTTTACATGTACACAACATATACACAACATATATACACAAATATTATTAAAATAGATCAATTAAAATTGAAGTAATGATTGATAAAGCAAAAAAATGTATGATTGTACTATGATTTGTAGTCACCAATAACAGAGAAAAAGTGCAATATGTACAGATAGGCAAAAACTAACAATATTTATACTAATAAATACACCATGAAAATTCAAAATGATAATTTAAGTGATATTATTATCTAATATATATTGGCTCATGAGAGTAGGAAATCATCTTGGTTCAACTGGAGTAGGAAATCATCATTTGGCATCATTGAATCATAAAATTTTCCTATTGGGAAAATATGGGACAAAAGTAAAAGAAACGATAACAATAGTAATATAGTAATAATAAAAATACATATAAGTAATTTATACAACAGGAATAAATCAACAGCTAGTTTAAGGTGAAAACTGCCATTTGATATAAGCTGATTGAAATTTCCGAAGAGTATCGGAATTTCTTATATGTACTGGTATGTCATTTCATATTTTTGGTCCAGAGTATGCAAATGATTTTCTGAAGAATTCTGTTTTAGGTTTTGGTATAATTAGCTTTGCATTTTGTGCTGATCTGAGGTTTAAGTTGTGCCTTTCGTTTACTGTCTGGAATTTATTTTTCATATATGTTGGAAAGTCAGGTTCATTAATTGATTTATACATAAGAATTGACTTTTTGTATATGATTCTTTGGTCAAAAGACTTCCAGTTTAATTCTTTGAATAATTCACTTGATGGTGTATCAAAATTTTTGTCAAGGAGTATTCTTGCTGCCCTTTTTTGAAATTTAATAAAGTTCAAGACTCTCTAGGTCAGGTTAAATTTAGTCATTTGTGGTCTTAAAATTGGTCACTATATTACGAGATTAAAGGAAAATTTGGGTTTTCAGTTGTGAAATCAAATTTAATGATGCATTTTTTTACTGATGTGAACTACAGTCTATAAACTAAAAATGGTCATCAAAAACTAAAAAGGGTTGTCAAAAACAAAAAGGATCGTCAAGATGTTTTTTTATTGGATTGACAGTAACATAACCTATGTTACGATTTTATACACAACAGAATTAAACAGTACAGTTTAATAGGTAAAAGTTCGAACAGGTTGTTTTGGATCATTTAACTTGTATACAGTCTTTAATGTGAGCCGGATGATTTTTATCTCTTGATCAATATACCTTTAACTCTGCTCGGTGAAAATCTAAATTTTACTAGCCTAGTTCAAGCCACAAGCCAATTTGGTACAAACTGTTACCAAAGGCAAAAAAACAAGATTTCATTTTTGTCCAGCTGTTGACTTGAAACAATGACAGAGTGTCGGAGAAAATTTCCGTTCAATAAAATCATTTCTCTATGTAGTGGCTAACGCTGTTTAAGCCCACACGCTGGCAAGATGCTGTTTTCAAATTATCATAAACAGTTTTGTTGAAAGTCCATTTCAATTTCATTAATGGTATTTTAAGACAATAAGGAAGTAATCTTATAAGGAACTAAATATAAATTCATTAATTTTCTTGAAGAAACTTTGAGGTGAAGAGATATTATATAACTTCCAATACTGCAAATTTTTCATAATTTCCTTATTATGTTAAACCATATGGAAACAAATGTTATTTTTTTTATTCAGTATTGTACACAATACTTTACTAGTATTCTATATTTTATGGGGTATGAAATCAATCTTGTTCAAATAGAGTAGCTGTGTATCAGTAAAGTATTTCAGTTGTTAGGAAAATAAAAAAATTGACTTTTTTCTTTATCATTTTTTCTTCAGTTTGTTAAACTTTACACTGTCACATCCAGAGAAGTTCTTAAAAATTATAGGAACAGCTGTTACAATTTATGGATTTTTATATTTCATTTTTAATAGTATTACTAGTAGAGCTACTGTACACACCCTCTGCTTTCGTGTCACACTTTGGTACCTAAAAAACAACTGAAGGAAATGGATTGAAACTTTGCACAAATTTTTGAGATCATATTTAGAGGCCCATGTCCAGGGCCCATAACTCTAAAAAATGGGGATTTGTCCGGTTTAGACAACAGGGTGGTCTTGCCCTTTTTAATTTAAGGTTTTTTCTTTTAATTTAAAGTTTAAAAAAGTCCCTGTGGCTTGTTTAAATTTTTGGAAAAACTTTTGGCCATTTGGGGAAAAGTTTTTTACATTTTTTGGGTACCAGGGATTTTTTCTTTTTTTAAAAAATGGGTTTTGTTATCCCCCGCCTAGCTTTTAAAGCCCTTTTTGGGAAAAATTGGTGTTTCACTTGGTTTCTTTTGGCCTGAAAAAATTAGGCACCGGAAAGTCTTCTTTAAAGTAAAAGGGTTTGAAAGGGCCACAGTATTGAAAAAGGGGGTGTAAATCCCAAAAAAAAAACAAGACCTTTACAAAACCCTTTTAAAAAAGACAGTCTAAATTTTTAAAGCAAACCAAAAAATTTTTTGGGTCGGCTGAAACCAATTTAAATTAGGGGTCAAGTATACATTGACTCCACCATAATAATGCTGCGTTTTATACTGATTTATTGGCTTTCATCTTTGTAAAGCTTTAAATTATATTTGATTTATATATAAATTCTCATAAAAACTTTCATATGTTTGTAATTAATAGTTTAACATAATAAAAGGTGAAAAAAATTCTAGATAATGTTTGTGTCATTATTCAGACTTAACAGTTTTTACAATTGTTGGGGAGGGAGGGGACAAATAGATTTGCCCTTGTCAGTCCATCACGCTGTATGTCTGTAGACTAACAAAACAGTTGAATTTGGGGGCATCCATTCCTTATGGACACATTTTAAGCTCATCTATACTGAAGGAAAAGTCAAACTATTATGATGGCTGCTGCGTTGTTGTTGTTGTCATGGTGTAAACATGTTATGCTACCCGTATGAAACTTGGTATACTTGATTATCAATGATATCATGATAAGGTGCAGTTGTAAGACAAGGGGTATAATTCTGAAAAACTATATTTACTATATTTTCTAAGTTATGCCCCTTTTACACTTAGAATTTTTGTCAAAATGGGTTATAAAGTGGAATGATTTTAGAACTATGAAAGGTATCAACATGAAACTTGGTATACTTGTTTATTATGACAAGGTACAATTGTTAGACAAAGGGCATAATTCTGAAAGCTTTATTGTTGGAGATATGCCTCTTTTTAACTAAGATTTTTTTGTCAAAATTTCTTATTATATTACTTAAGTGGAATCATGTCATCATTTCATAAATGTTAAAGATATCAACATGAAACTTGGAATACTTGATTATTAGGACAATACACAGTTGTAATACAAGAGACATTATAATTAAAGCAATATTTTTAGAAGCTATGAGTCATTATAGCTTGAATATTGATAAGAATTGGTTATTAATTTGTTGTTACCTTTAACAGACAAGTGTGAACACTGCATGCGGTGCTCTTGTCAACTTTATTTCTGCTTTAATGTTGTATTCTATTTCAGATTTTTATAAGGTTGATTATTTTAGTCACCATTTAATTGTGGTGATATTTCATTCTTGACCTTTTGTCCGTAATCCATTAGTCTTATTACAAGTGTTTTTTTATTAGTTTCAAAGTAATAAAATTGATTTGCTAACAGTGAGGAGCCTGGTAAGGTTTCACAGGCATGCTGACTGGAATGGTTCTACATGTATTTTGGTCACTTGATACAATAGTTAACATTAAAGGGATATTCAGGCAAAATAATGACAAAAATATTAAAATGATCTAATGTACTCGAATCAAGCTAAAATGACTTTTCAGCATGAATTTCTGTTTAAATTCTATATATTTTGGGTTTGAAGCATAAATTTATCTATAGATGTTGTACAAAATTTAGACCACAATAGAATCAACCAAGTCAAGTGACTTGAACAAACCCTTGAAGTTACAATAACAGATATTGTGGATATTGTATGATTGAAACAAGCCTAAGTCATTCATTTGACATGTTCTGTAACGTTTCCAGAGTTCACTTTGACAACTACTGTGAAATGCTAGCGCTCTCACCTTACCCACGCGGGTCAAGTTAGGAAACCACCATTTTATTCTTTATATGGGGAAAAGTTTTTCTCTTTTGACTGTCTAATATATTCATTTTGAGGGCATTTACAGAATAATGAATGAAAAATTCAAAACTAAGAAATGAAAATTTTGCCTGTGTCTCCCTTTAACAGTCAAAATAGCAAAGTGACAAATTTGACGATTATAACTTTTATTTTCGATTTTAGATTCCCACAACCAAAATTTGCTCTGACAAATTTGTCAATACGTTTATTTTGATTTTTAGATTCCAACAACCAAAATTTGCTTTTAAAAATTTGTTGATACCTTTACTTTGATTTTAAGATTCCCACAACCCAAAACAAGATTTACTTTGACAAATTTGATGATACTTTTATTTTCAATTTTCAGATTCCCGACCAAAGTTTTGCTTCGTATCCATGAGAAGCGTGTGCACAAATTCCAGCCAAATCAAATATTGAAATGTCAACTGTGCCATAAAACATTTGGTAACCTAGCAGCTTTTTAAGGGAAAAATGAGAGAAGAAAACACAGGTAAAATTTGAAAAATAACCCCAACCCCAAATTAAACCCTTTTTTCTCTGCTTTTATTTTTTTAAATTTTCCCTTTTAATTTTCCTTGAACTTTTTTTGGTTTTTTTTTAAATTTTAATTTCCTTTAACCCGTGAAAACAGTAGTGGTTATAAAATTTTGGGAGGAGTATAGAGCTAAGGGCCGGGCCCGAAAAGTCCCCTTTTCAGTCCTGACCAGGCTTTTTACATTTAAATGTTTTAAAACTTAAATTTTTTTTTACCTTTTGATATTGAAATCAAACTTGAACTTTTAATTGAACCGGGGTTTTAAATTTCAAAGGGTGGACCCAAAAATATTAACCCAAAAAAATTGACAATTCTTTGAAAATTTTTAATTAAACTTTTTTGTAAATTTTTTGATTTTTCCTTCCCGTTGCCCAAAACAGAAGAAAATGTATATCAGCCTATAAAGGAAAAGGCTTTAAAGCTGTTTTCTAGAGCATTTATAGAAATTAACAATAAAAAATCAAAGATAAGAGAAGCCAAAGTAAAGTACATTCCAAAAATTTAAACATCTTATAATAAAAATTAATTTGGTAAGAAAGGTTTTAGGATAAAGCACCCCGTGACATCTAAATTTTGCCCAGAAAAAAAAAGTTTGGGGAAGGGGTATACTGGAGTTTTTTTCTATTTTTGGGTTTTAAAACTGGATTTGGGCTTAGGCCTAAAATTTAAATATTTTTATTTTCCCCTTTTTCAAAAAAAAGTGATAAGGGGAAAAAATTTTTGCAAAATCAATGAAAATTTAAAAATTTTGAATTTTTTAGTTTCCAAAAATTTCCCCGTTTTTTTAAATTTTTTCTAAATATAATATTTAAATTTAAAATTTTTTTAAAAATTTTTTTATGGCCCCAACTAAATTTTTTACTGGCCAAAAAAAAAAAGGGCCCCCCCCCGGGGCCCCCCCCCCCCAAAAGGGGTTTTAAATTTGGATGACTGGGTATTGGATACATCCTTAAAAAAACCCAAACCCCACCCAAACGGCAATGGGGTTGGGGAGAGTGGTAACAAAGGTAATTTAAAAAAAAGAATAAACAATGTTGTCAGATGAGCAATTAAGAACCAGTTTTTGTTCTTCTTGTTATACCCCCAAAAACGAAGTTTGGGGGGGTAATATAGGAGTCACCCGGTGGTCGGTCCGGTCGGGCGGGTCGGTCAGTCCAGACGTCCGTTGCATTTTCCTTGTCCGGAGCATAACTTGAAAACTAATGGTTGGAATTCAAAACTACATACAATGGTCAAGCACATTGAGAGAGAAGTGCAGTGCACAAGAACCATAACTCTATCTTGACTGAATTAACAGAGTTATTGCCCTTTGTTACTTTTCCTTGTCCGTGGCATATAACTTGAAAACTACTGGTTGAATTCAAAACAACTTCATAACAATTGTCAAACACAATAAGGGGAATTACAGTGCACAAAGAACCCATAAACTCTATCTAAAGTAATTACAGAGTTATTGCCTTTGTTGCTTTTCCATTGCTTTTTTTTTGTCTGTTTGCATTTTCCTTGTCCGTGGCATAACTTGAAGACTAATGGTTGGAATTCAATATAACTACATACAATGGTCAAGCACATTGAGAGGAAGTGCAGTGCACAAGAACCATAACTCTATCTTGACTAATTACAGAGTTATTGCCATTTTTTTTTTTTTTTTTTTTTTTTTTTTTTTTTTTTTTTTTTTTTTTTTTTTTTTTTTTTTTTTTTTTTTTTTTTTTTTTTTTTTTTTTTTTTTTTTTTTTTTTTTTTTTTTTTTTTTTTTTTTTTTTTTTTTTTTTTTTTTTTTTTTTTTTTTTTTTTTTTTTTTTTTTTTTTTTATTTTTTTTTGATACTTTTCCTTGTCCGGGTATAACTTGAAAACTACTTGGTTGGAATTCAAAACAACTTCATACAATTGTCAAACACAATAAGGGGAAGTGCAGTGCACAAGAACCATAACTCTATCTAAAAGTAATTACAGAGTTATTGCCCTTTGTTGCTTTTCCATTGCTTTTTTTTTGTCCGTTGCATTTTCCTTGTCCGGAGCATAAACTTGAAGACTAATGGTTGGAATTCAATATAAAACTACATACAATGGTCAAGCACATTGAGAGGAAGTGGCAGTGCGTAAGAAACTAACTCTATCTTGACTAATTACAGAGTTATTGCCCTTTGTTACTTTTCCTTGTCCGTGGCATAACTTCAAAAACAACTTCATACAATTGTCAAACACAATAAGGGGAAGTGCAGTGCACAAGAAACCATAACTCTATCTAAAGTAATTACAGAGTTATTGCCTTTGTTGCTTTTTCCATTGCCTTTTTTTTTTGTCCGGACCATAACTTGAAGACTTATGGTTGGAATTCAAATATAACTACATACAATGGTCAAGCACATTGAGAGGAAGTTGCAGTGCATAAGAACCATAACTCTATCTAAAGTAAATTCAGAGTTATTGCCCTTTATTACTTTTTTCCATTGCTTTCTTTTGTCCGGACCATAACTTGAAGACTAATTGTTTGGAAATTCATTATAACTTCATACAATGGTCCAGCACATTGAAGGAAGTGTAGTGCATGAAAATAAAATCCTCTTGACTTTATTACAGAGTTACTTGCCCTTTGTGTCTTTTTCCTTTTGTCCAGAGCAGACTTTAAAACTACTGGTTGGAATTCAAAACAACTTCATACAATGGGTCAAGCCACAATAAGGGGAAAGTGCATTGCCACAAGAACCATAAACTTCATCTTTGAATAATTACAGAGTTATTGGGCCCTTTGTTACTTTTCTATTGCTTTCTTTTGTCCGGACCATAACTTGAAGACTTATTGTTGGAATTCATTATAACTTCATACAATGGTCAAGCACATTGGGGAGAGGAAGTGCAGTGCATAAGAACCATAACTCCATCTTGACTAATTACCGAGTTACTGCCCTTTGTTACTTTTCCTTGTCCAGAGCATGACTTGAAAACTACTGGTTGGAATTCAAAAACAACTTCATACAATGGTCAAGCACAATAAAGGGGTAGTGCAGTGCACAAGAACCATAACTCCATCTTGACTAATTACAGAGTTATTTGCCCTTTGTTACTTTTTCCTTGTCCAGAGCATAATTTGAAAACTACTGTTTGGAATTCAGTACAACTTCATACAGTTGTCAAGGACATTAAAAGGAAGTGCAGTGCATAAGCCATAAAGCCAATAACTCCATTTTGACAAAATACAGAGTTACTGCCCTTTTGATACTTTTCCTTGTCCGGAGCATAACTTAAAACGTACTGGTTGGAATTCAAAACAACTTCATATCAATGGTCAAGCACAATAAGAGGAAGTGCAGTGCACAAGAAACTATAACTCTATTCTTCAGTATTTATAGAGTTATTGCCTTTGTTCTTTTTCTTTGTCTTTCTGGACTTACTACAGAGTAATTCAATTAAACTTCATCAATGGCCAACCACATTGAAAGGAAATGCAACATACATGAACCACAATTATCTTTAATTGCCCACAACCATAACTATGTTTCAATTCTTTTACAAGGTATTCTGTTACTAGTAACATCCTCATTTCCGAAGCAGACTTGTGGGGGTATTAATCACATTTAGTGATAGTTCTAGTTTAATTTATATACTTTTATATTTGTCATCTTAGTGCACTAACAGATTAACTCCCTATTAAGTTATATGAACCCATTACCTGCACTAATTTCACTAAGGTATACAAATGCAATGAATTAATATAGAATAAAACCAATAGAATACAGATGGGAAGAGCAACCTCATGAACATAAACTAAAGTAACTGGTATTCTCAGGTAACAGTTAAAAACATTCATTAATTTCATTAAGTAGCACAATTGTTAATACATTTCATAACAAAATTAATCAAACAAGTTCACATTAAATTAAATAATTAATTGGTTAAAAAATGCTTTTAATGATATTCAAGTCCTGATTTACTTTGCTGAGCCAGATGATAAACTTAAAAAGAATGTAATCTTAGCAATTTTATTCTTCATGAATATAATGCATAATTATCGTTTTACACAGACCAGACATTCTTATATTAATCAATGTAATACCAATTGTAAAATTAAGGAATTTTTATATCAAAACTTATAAAATTTGAGCAGATAACAAGATAGATTCTAATCAGATTTACTTGACATAAAGTTTAGCTTGCCTACATTCTGGTCAAATAGCATGAACATATAATACTGAAGTCAGTCTATTGGTTGGTGAGTCAGTCAAGCTCAGCTCTATCTGCCTTATAAATCCTCTATACCCCATTTCTTCAAACTAGGCTCAAATGTTCATTTTAACAAGGCAATTTGCAAAACCCATGCCATTACTGCCAACTCAGGGTGAAGGTCACACTTGAAGGTCAGATGTTAGGCAATTTTGTGTCTTCTCTATCAATCCTTCACTTCGATTTTGTCTCAATCGTTCACCTTCAAAAATAATGATGAATGGACCTACATCTACATGAAAGTGCTGTGTCATAGGTGGGTCAAAATGTTCACATCAAGTGATTCACTGCCACTGATTTGCTATGTCATGGTCAAGGTCGCACTTGAAGGTCATATGTCAGACAATTTCATGTCCTATACCCCTTGAAGGACTTTCTTAAAACTAAGCTCAGATGTTCACCTCAGTCACAATGCTGGCTCAAGGTCAAGTCACCATTGATATATTAATAAGGCAGTACAAACAGTTTTTACTGTTGCGTACTGTACATGTGTTTGTTTCTTTATTATTTAATGTAGGGAGAAAAAAATGTTTTGTTAGCAGCTGGCTTAGGTGATTTCCTTTATAACAAGGTGATAATAACATAATTTCATGGTTGTCTAATGACATTCATTAAATTCTTACCAAGACTGCAGCTCAAAGAGAAAATTGTCTACTGCGTATTTTTATACTAGATAAAATGAACAACATAAAAACACTCTAAGTGGATTCTTCTGTTAAATTATT